ACCTCTCAGGGGTTCTTTTAAAAATTTCCGACGAGCACCCCCGCCCTTGTTATATGAAAGTCTCCCCCTGGGGGTGAAAGTCTGAAACGCTAACAAGCTAAAACGTTAACTTGTGCAGGGGCGGGAAAAGCGGGTGGGGGTGGGACTCCTATGTATTGTAAAAATTTCAATATTGCATTTCTCACGTATATAAAAATATAATTTTCTCAGAGGAGAGACGAGATCATCGTCTCATGTCTTAGACGGTCCTTTGCTTAATTTGCTGGTGGTAGATTTACATGTCCTACTGAGCATGTATGGAAATATTCAACTTTTCTTTTGATACTGATGGAAACAAAATGTAAGGTAACCTTGGATTCATATGCCAACGGATCCATCGATTTGAAATTGAAACGCCTTTAAAAATGACGAATTTTAAAAATATATATGTACCTTACTTGCGCTCTGGTGTAAACCTAGCCGAAAGAAAGAACGTAAACAAACAGTTGTTTTTTTAGCAAATCCTAAGCAATCCTACATATGGTAGTAATGCAATTAATTGTACCTAAAAGATTTCGTTTGTCCTCTTTACCATCGTACAAAGTAAGTTGGCCGTGATTTATTACATTAATTAGTTCGTTTTGGGTTAATTCATATACAAATTTACACGCGTTGTCGAGGAACCATCGACGCAGTCTAAATGGCGATACTATTTGGCACCCTCTCTGGAAGCAAATACGTGTAAGGAAATTTCAAAGTCTCGTTCCTTTTCTTTATGGACACCGTAATTCTGTTCAGTTTTCCTTGGAAGCGCAAAATGGCCTCTCTGGCAGCCATGTCTGTAAAGGAGCCATCAGAATAGTCACCAAGGAAACGCTTTAAGGTAAGAGAGAGAGAAAAAAAAATATTGTCACATTCAGAACAAGTGAAGGAAGCAAAGTCTAATGAGAAATCATAGAAGTGAAGTATCTAAAGTCGAGAAGTAGCTAAAGGAAACAGCTACTCATTTGCGGCCACAGACTGTGTTTCGCCTACAAAAAAGACTTCGGACAGTTAAAGCCTACAAAAACAAACGGACTATTTCAATGAAGCACATTGCAACATTCTTGCGCACGACATGTTGCAAGCGCTTGGCAACCCTGTGGCAAGCCAAACATTTTGTAGCATACCGTGACCAAACGTGCACAACATGTTGTGCATAATACAGTATTGGAGTAGGTTACGTTGAAATGGTGCGTGTGTTTGGCCAGGCCTTAAGGTTCCGCGCTGATGTCATGCATAGCACTTCCACAACCTCCGTACGTTCTCTTTAGCTTAGTATAGCTGCGAACGCGGACGTATTCCTACGGAGACAAGCGACAGCCGGAAATACGTCTGGCTAGAATGCGCCAAATAAGCGCGACAAGTGACGCGAAAAATGCTTGGTTACGAACTACCTTTCGAGTGAGTTTCAATTGAGTAAGTTTGTTTTTGGGGGTTTTACATAAGCTGTGCTCTGTGACTGGTCTTAAAATCTCGCCCCACCAAGTCAGTCACCCAATCAGTGAAATCCTAAACCGTTCGCGGCTTGATCTGACGCGTTTTTCTGCACTAGGTTCCAGGTCATCATAACATTTAATTCATTCATTTAGTTCTGACTTTATGGCGCTCTAAAGGAAAGTCGTTCCATAACAAATGTGCGTGTCAAATTGAAAGAATCTAATACGAGTAGGAGTAAATAAATGCCCAACACCTACTGATGACAATTTGGGTGATAACACCGAGCCACGTTGTCACAAAAGGTAATTTAGAGGCATACAGCGACACGTACTCATAAAAAAGTCAACAAAGTAAAATACTTGTCGGTGAATAAAAACGCGCTTGTTTACCTCATCAGGAAATATGCGAGTCAAATCGTACAGCGTTACTATAGTAACACCTGTCTGGTGCTTGGTAGGGAGACTTTTCATCATATCTTTCATGGTCAGTTTTCCTTTTTCCGTCGGAGGTGGTTGTCGCATGAGGGCGGGAGAACTCGGGGGAAAACCAAGTGAGTCCATCTGAGAAAAGTTGACAGCTGCGTGCTGACAGGCGCACGTAAAGATGACTATGGTCAGCAGGTGAGTCAACTGTTCAATGCTTGTGAGGGATGACGGGATGCCATGGTCTGTCTGTCCTTCCCGGAGGGCGTAGCCGTTATTATGAAGATCCAGGATCCAGGCTTGAATCTCTGTGTCCTGTTGAATATGATCATTGCTTAGAGAAGAAGGTCATCTTGGTGTAAGCGGAACATCTTGCCGGGTGTATATTGTTTTTCTCAAACTCATTTTTGAAAGTGAATGCAAACGTTCAAGTCCCAGTGTAATATTTAGGAAAACCAGCATTGCCACACAAGTCGTTTCATGACGGGTTTCATTTGAATGGTTACACACTAGGCCTTGGACTATAGAGTTTCATTCATTTGCTTTAACATCTCCTTTGCTACTTTTTTCTAGAAATCCCACACACCTGAGTCTCTAAGAAAGAGAAATCAAACAGAGACCGCTGGTCAATGTTTTAAATACCTTTAAAGTACATTTTACCTTCTCAATGTCCTCATCGGAATGATAATAAATCGAGAGGATCCTCTTGATGTAGTCCTTGATGGCATTCCAAAGCCTCAAGGCATCGTCCCGATAGTAAAAGCCTGGCAGTTTCTCTGGATCGTCTACTCCTCTATCCTTTAAGACCTTGGGCAGGTCATATGAACACCAATTACTGTCCTTGTAGTACTTCTCCATGAGCTGAATGTGACCTGGGAGAACCAGACGATGAGTAATAAGTTGAACTGTTTCAGTACTGAGCAACGGTGGAAGATACCCGGCGGGTACTCCCATAAGAACGCATACAACCTGAGACAATCAGATTTTTCTACTCCTAGATACAACACTGTTACTTATGGGAAGCAATCTCTACGTTATGTAGGACCCAAATTATGGGGCAAACTGTCTATGGCTGACAGATCAGCCAAGACTCTGCAGGCTTTTACAAACTATATTCGCAAAAGGGATATAACTCGCTTAATGGACACCGGCTGTAAGGGCTGTATCCTATGCTGAACATAATGCCCTTCAAGTCATTTATTTTTTATTGTATTAATATTAGTATTAGTATATTTTTTTTTAGCAGTGTCTATGGTGTATTATGTCCAGGCTATAAGGTTTTTGACACTTTAATAAAGTTCTCACTCACTCACACTCCCGTCAAATAAAGCTCGAGCCACGCTCAGAGTGGTATTCTTTAGGGGTTTAATTCAAATTTTCCCACGAGCATCCCCGACCACTTCTTTTCCACTGGAAGATATATTATTCAGGATAAATATATCTACAATCATGATCGTTAACTATTTACTCATTTCGTTGCACTGTTCACTATAGCATTCTAGTGTGAGAAGGCGTCGGAGACAAAACGAATAACAGTCTTCCAAAGTAGAAAAGGCTCGTACCCAAATGAAAGGGAACCAATATGCTCATTCAACCAAAAAAGTGTAGAAAATTCTACAAACCAGCAGTGCCTTTCTACGACCACACCGTACAATATTTCATTTTCTTTCAACGAATAGTCAGACAAAAACATATTAATTTATATTTTGCATGATATTTCTATTTCAAGGATTTTAAAATTTTTTCGTTCTCTTCTGTCGTGGGACATCTGAAAACTAGCTTGTAAATACGCATTTTTTCCCTCGTAAAATAAGGCATTGTAATTACTTTTATTACCATTTAATTTTCAATCGATCTATTTTAGGGCGTCTCTAAAAACTACCTCAGCGAACCAAGCCCTCATTCTTAAATAAAAATATTGTAAATATTAACGTGAATTATTATACGGCTTTGGCTTGTGGCCGATATAACGCGCGCTGTGATTGGCTAAGAGCGAAATCCGAGCGGTCATTATGCAGCCGTAATGCCCACGGGCCGATTACGGATTATGCAAATTAGGAAGAGCCCGATGAAAGCCGATTAAAAACAGTAAGAGAAGTAAATTTAATTCCGAGTAGCTAGAAGTTTAGGGATTTTTCCTTAATGAAATTTATATAGAAGTCGTTTTTGACTTACCAGCCGGTAACCTTGGCGGGCACTAGTGAAAAACAATCAAAGTTTGCCGAGTCTTAAGTAAAGCTAAA